GATGGGGTACGTAAACGGTTTTTGCCATTGACCTTTGTATTCGTATAAGACGTCACACTTTGCTTACGTCGCTTAGGTTATGGCTTGTTTCAGGTCTCTTTCTGGATGGCTCTGGTGTTTCAAGTTGATCCATATTCCTTTGTTTTTCAATGCCATTAAGTACAAGAGATATCGCAGTCTTGGAAATTCTAAATACCCCATCTGAATATGATACTTTGCGTTGGAAAGGGCTGCTATATACACATTCCAAAAACGATCAGTTTTCGATAGAATCACACTACCTACAAAACGCTAAACAATATAAAAATATAGTACTAATACATCCGTTTTACATTCCGGACGTGATTGCCACATGACTCTGATGTACATATTCAAAGTATTTTTAATATGATGTACTCAAAACTCTGTATATCACATTTCGGCAGTGTCGTTTTTAATATAAACTACTTGAAAAACTTGAAAAGCTATACACTTACAGTCACATATGTATATATACCACGTATCTTGAAGTTAGTTTCATTGAACTTCTGCAATTTATGGAAGTAAACGATTACCCCAATTCTTCCCTTTTCATGTAGAAACACATTAAATATATTTATAACCTAGTCCATTTCTTTTTTGTGAATAATAAAGTAGTGATTTGTTAAAACTTTATTATAACTGCGTAAATACTAATGAATTTATTTTATAATATAAACATCCATTGGAAACTTGTAAAATCTAACATGTATATTTTTCTTCAAATAATTTAGAACGCTAAAATCCAATGTTCGGTTCTCTGCAGTAGACAGACAGACAGTGTAACTTTACGCTGACACACAACAACAACAATCTGACGAAGTTAGATTTTTTTAGGCTCCTTTTAATAGAGATGGGGAAATGAACAATATTTTCTCTCACAGCCACCAATATACTACATGTAGATAGTATGTATATAACTCAGTTTAGGCCAAGTTAAATTAAAGTACACGGAATTTTAGACAGAGCAATGTGAGGAAAATTTGAGAATCTACATTCATGTTGTTAAAATATACGATCGTTTTTTAATTTACTTCAATTATTATTATTTTTTCTCATAACAAAAAAGAAAAACAGTTAAATGCAATATATACATACGGACCTTATCATGAAAAAGAGCCCTGCTTAAAAGA